CCCCCTGACTTAACTCTGACCATCCCAGCGCAGTTAACGGCATGAGCTCAAATTTGCCAAGCTCAGGTTAGACCATTCTCTGTAGCAGCAAAGGACAAGATGACATCTTTGCCTTGACGATCTAACTGCGCAGCATTACGGACATCATCCACCACTTTCTGCTTTAGTGTTTCCATAAACAATCCTGGTAGCTAAAAAGCATTCAATGCTCTTGGATTCCATCTAGAAAGGTTGCTCAGATGAATCACATCGGTAAGTATTTCTTCCATGTAATGCCACACACAGAAAGGGCTCCTCTAACACTATTGTCCACTTCAGTGGCTTTCTGTTCTGAAGTAACCAACAAATAACACCACCGAAAGGAAAAAGGCCAAGGCAGCTGGGCTTTTACCAGCTCAAATTTAGGCAAATTTAGGCAATGGCCGGTGTCCACTGATGAGGACTCCATCTGACCTCCCACTTTTGATCCGGATCCTGAGTTCCCGAACCCAGCTCCCTGTATCCAGCTCCCGCCGCCGCTGAGCCTGGGGACGCCCCAGTGCCTCCTGCTCTGCAGCACCAGTGGGGATTGATATCAGGAGAGGGAGTCGGGTTTGGTATCGGGCTACTATCTACAGTTGTATACAGTTCTTTACTTTTATCATTCCACCATTATTTCTATTGTTTCATTGAAGCTGTTCTAGTTTTTCTTCTCTAACCCGAAAGTCTCTCTGCCTCATTCCCTTTTCCTTCCCATTTTGGGGGGGGAGAGGGGGTTAGAGAGCATCTGTCCGCGTTAGTGGCCGGCCCAGCCCTAACCCATGACAGAACCCAAGAATCTTTCCCGGGATCTACTGCACTTTCCTAATGGGCTTATGCACAGTCTCCAAACAGCCATTTCAGAGGTAGGACCTTCTCATTTAAACCTACTTACACACATTGCATTTTTATACAGTATATTAATTCTCCATATGGTCCAGCAGAGAACGTAAGGGAGATACATAAGTACACTTAACAACCATAAGGACTATGTTAAGTTTTCCCTCAGTCTTACTGGTACAGGAACAACCACTGAGCACCAACCAATCCTATGGTCACTGGGACATGAGCTGGAGCGGTCCTTACATTAAGAGTAAGCCTGAGTCAGAAAGTTATGTTCTGTTGCTGGCTGTACCACGAGCTCCTTGCACTTCCCTGGGCAAACAGAGAAGTGTTTTATTTATTAAAAAACACCATAATTTTCTTTTTAGAAGTTTTTAACTATCATCGGTATGTTCAGTGCTCATCTTTTGTCACTATAATGTTCCCAAGTCACCGGCAAATTTACCCAGAAATAACAAATATGTTGATTTTTTTGGAGAAGTAACATAAACTCTTTAAGAATAATGTGAGCAAGTTAGACATAAAGCACACAACAAGAATTTCTTCAGCCAGCTTCTTACTTGGGAACTACTACCAGGGCTGGGAGAACAGGAGCAAACACATTAGGGAGTGTTTCCAACAAACTCACACTTCTGTGCTAAAGACATCTATGTTCTGGTCACTAAAACAAATACACTCAACAGAAATGAAACTTTTCTAAAAAGTTAAAGGGCAGTGGAGGATCAAAATGGTTGTCTTGATAGAATATCTGAGTAGACACTCCTGGAAGTTAAATGAGACATGTAAAAGGCAGATTGTAACAATCTGTACAACAGATTTGAGAGGAAAATGCCAATCTACTTTGAACTAGTAAAGCACAAGAACTGCTCACCTCTCCAAGTAAGTTTACACAGTCCAGAAATATAAAAATTAAAAGTCCAGAAGAAATGCAGCAGCAGTTCACAGACTGTAATAACTTCTTTTAAGTAGCTCCAAGTACCCCCTAAACCCTTGAAAAGATTGGGGAAGAACTCTCTTTAGCTCTTCTCTGACTAACCTACTCCACAGATAGGTTTGGAGTTGCAGAAGGGCAGCGGTTAGACTTCCAGTTTCCATTTAATTCTGCTGGAGTATTTCATATTTTACACATAATGCCAGTTCTCTGCAGACAGGTGGTAGGTGGCTGTGATGGCTCAACTGAATGAGTGACATCTTAAGGCTACTTTGAGATAAACTTTAGAAAGGAGCCTGGCACTACTCCTCCTGGAGAAGTGTATCTCAATGCAATTATCAAAACTGTGAGGAGGTAAACTGTACCAATCAAACTCCCAAAAAAGCGTTTTAAAATTTAACAAGGCTCAGAAAAATCTTACATAAACATCAGCTTCTGAAAAAGCCTCATACAAGGCCTATATTTTTGTGGAGCGACTGTGAAATCCAGCTGTTCCTCCCTTCTTGCTACAGTGGGTACATTTATGTGCAAACATCTAAAGAAAGTGGAATCCAAGTAACTTTGGGGATGTATGAGCAAGTTGAGGCAGGTCAAAGCAACCTTTTGCCAGAAAGCTTTAAATATAGACTTCTTATTTACTGTGAACTAGCCAGTGAGGATTCCTAATGGAGGACACCAAGAGAGAATAACTGATGTACTGACAAATCCTCATTTACAAGTGAAAAAAACCCAACAAACCACCACACCAAAAAAACAATTACACCCACCCATAAAGCAAAGGTTCAGAGCTTCAGGGCTCAGAAACAGAATATAACACTGAAGCAGAATGTATAAATAATACTCCAAAAGATCCAGAAAAATCAAATTTATATCAGCCAGCAAGGAATGTTTTATTAATTCATCTAAATGAATCCTCCTTTGAAGCTTTCATTTCCAGTTAAAGGCACAAGAACATTACAAGAAGGGAAAGTGATCACTGTCTTATGATTACTCCAAATAGCATCCAACTTAGCTGTTTGCAATGGCTGCTCTTATTGACTGTCATAATTGATTTCACATTCCAACTGTGAAAGCTATTAAATGTGTGCAGGACAATTTCATCTCTGTAAAAACTTACTCAAAATTAAGGTTTACTAATGCACAGCTATGTCATACTACCTTACTGAATAAAGCTAAAAAATAAAGAACAGGCAACACAAAATGTGGTTCTTACACCACCTAAGAATCCAGTCCAAACCAAGAACAAACCTGGGGCTACTCCTCTGACATACATTCAAATTATAAATACAGGATTACAAAGTTATATTCCATAACAGATACATTCCAATAGACAAGACAGCTCCAAAAGATTGAAAGGAATTAGCGTGCAAGTTCTCCCACTTGTGTAAGGTCACACAAATGTCTTGGCCAATCGCCTACGTTTCATTACACTGACACAGCTATGAGGGCCTGAAGGCCACAGGTGGACTTGGAAACAGCCTTTGACCTCCCACATACATGGTATCAACTCTCACAACTACGTCAAGCATCTGGATCTGGAGAAAACAAAAATGCAGCTTTTTGCTTAAATCTCAGTTCTTCCTCCTACATTTTGCTTCTATGGCTCCATGTATACTGTAGCTGCATACAAATACCTCATTAACAACATACGTCTTGGGAGCTATATACAATTTGAAGACAAAAAAGAAAAAGAAAAGGATAAATAAGAATGCAAAGATGGAATTTTTCTCTAAAATCCTGTAAAATGCAAACACTAAGTGAGACTCCCGGCAGCCCTGCATTATCTTTGGGACACTGTAAGCACTGGTCTCTTTGAAAGCTTGCATACGAGTAAGGAAACAGAAAATACAAGTAACTGTTTTGTCAAGGAATGTACATTTTTCAAACCAGGACATTAATCACAAAATGTGATTAAAATACAAGGCAGCAATTGGATTAAGTGTAAATCACCCTCCTTAAATCATTTAGCTGCATGGATTCAAGTTCAACCCTGAAGCACTCAAGTTACGTTCCAAGGCAGTCAAGTTGTTATTCTCCCTACCTTTCTGTTTTACTTTAAGTCCCAGGTCAGCTTTCTCCTGCAGTTTAGCAACGCTGTCTTCCGAAATCCTATCTGCCACGCTCTTAGTTTCTGCAGTTCCTATATCAAAACAGTTTATAGTCAAATGAAACCAAAGATGCAATAAAAAAAGAATGAAAAGCCATGCTAAATACTTGTTACACTTATTTCTTTAATGGCTATTCTAGTTGAATAAATCATCTTGAGTGTAAATAATCAACATTCAAAGTTCACAAAGACTTTTTACATGACCGCTGATTGAACTCCTTACATTACAGCAAACTCATGGCAAATTCTTCAATTCAGAAACAATTTACGGATGCTGTTTATTAGCCAGATAGCTGGTGAAACAGTACAATATTTAGCTAATAATGCCAAAGTAATTGCTAAAATACATAATATCGTTTGTATACTACTTGGAATGCACAACTCACTTCAGTTTGTTTCACAGTCTTCAGCTTTAAACACATTTCATACTAAAGCCAGTAAGAAATTTCAAGCAAGAAAACCTAATTTTTGCTAGCTGAACTCCACAACCTGCTGGTAATGCTAGAAGAACCTAGTCTACAAACACTGTTCACTTTTGATGATACCAAAACCAAATTTTATTTTTTGGAAAAAAAAAAAATGAAAGACGGTATCATCTACAAATTATCTTAAATTAATTCCCACTGTTGCAACAGAATGACGTTGACAAAAGGAAAGTAACACGCAAGGGATGAAAGCGGAAATATTCAGATATAAGTTATATGCCCAGGAAGAAGAAACATTCAAGGTGGAGAGACACAAAGGAGAAACACTTCATTGCCATTTGTACGCCATTCCTGAGAATGCACTTATGCATCGAACACGCGAGGTCAGGAAAAGTTAAATCATTCATATAGTTTGTCAAGATATGAACGGAATGGGTATAATATTTAGCTTCAGTCTTATTACTAAAAATACATACACACACACATACACACCTCCCTTCACTTGGAGAAATATGTTCAGTGCTCACACTCCTCAAAATGCAGCAGAAGCAGAACCAATTCAGAAATTGGCAAGGTCACAGATACGGAAAGAACACCTGAAAAAGGGAAGCACCCAAAGCACTGTCCAGGAACTCAACCCAGCGCTTCCACGTCTCCTTATCTGCAAACAGCTACCTGTAATGCAAAGGTGAAGAACAGATTCCCAGGGCCCCCATCTACAGCCAAGACACCTCAGGTAACACTTCCATCACCAAAAAAAAATGAGCCAACAGTTTTGATAGCATGGGCAAAGATTTATTAGATAGAGCAGTGCCTAAGGCTTGGGTTGGAACATCCAACACTTCCAAAACAGCAATGAAATTCCCACATGCAGCATAAAGCTGAAGCTTTCAGGACATACAGATCAATAGCGGAGGATCCACTCCTCCACTTATGGTATGGGAAGCATCCACAAGAATACACAGTCCACTGCGGCAGAAACGCCGAGTTCAACTAGTTTAGGTGTAGACTAACACACAGCAGCGAAAGGCCAACCAGCACTTTCATTTACCTGTGCTGAGTAAGGCCAGGATGACTTGTCATTTAACAAAACTGAAACTACCACTTAAAAATTCATTATGGACCTACAGAGCAGTGCTACAAGTTCCCCATCACAAGATCTGGAGCTTAGCAGAAAAGCCAAGCCAGCAGTGGAAAGAGAAGCACATCACTCATCATTTCCATTTAGCAAGTCATTCGGTGTCTGAAAAAAGCTTTTTTCAGCTCTCAAAACCAACTGCAAGTTTAAATAAAATTTAAAAAGTTTGATTCGTAAATTACCAAAAATGGTCTCTATTGCATGATGCAAGTTTTGCTACTAGGCATGTTCCAACTATAAAAGCAGTCACTACTTGACTAGTGATAAATGCAGCTTTAACGATATAAAAACAAAACAAAACAAAACAAAACAAAACCAAGCAACCGAAACATCTCCTCCAATACCATTAGGAATTTGTTCATACAGAGGTAAACTTGTTTTAACTACCAGGATAGGAAATATGCCTGGTTTTGCTTACCTAGTCCTCCATTCACCACTTTGGTTTTCCTTACTACAGGTTTAGTCATGACATTAGCCCTTTTGCACCTTCCTGTTGTGCATTTACTTATCTCCAGTTAATATCAGAAAAATATAGAAAGTTCTGGTCGTCATCACCATTAACTACAGAGATCAAGGTGCAACAGGCACCAGCATAGCTCCAGATGGTTTTTACTAGCCTCTGGATCACATACAGGAGTACCTACAAGCCCCACTCACCTCTTGCAGCTCTGCTGCATCAGAATAAAAAGAGGGCTAACACCCCAAACTATCTATTGGTTAGGGAAACTGAAATTAGAGTGCACTGGCTTGCTGCATCAGGAAAGGAGGAGCGTTTTAAAATGTTTACCTTCAAGTCAAAACACAGGGTAAGTTGTTAAATGTATTTCATTGATCAGAAAAACTGGATCCTGATTTTAAGGAAGAGATGATCCTATAAAGCAGGGTGTGTCAGGTCACTGGAGTTGAGTGCCAGTTCAGGCTATAAAATAAATATTCTAATCTTGGGAAATAAAAGAAGTTATAGGATCAGCTAAGGATCACTAAGCAGTAAAATATGACTACATTTAAGGGAATCCAGATGGTATTTTTCAGCTGCAAAATTATTAAAACCTCACAGCACATAAGTACAAGATGTGATGTAAAATTTTCAATTTTCAAGCACCAACTCGAATCAAGCTCCTACGTCAACAGACATTCATATCCAAAGTGACAACTCTTTTCCAAGGTATTTAGGGTGCCTAAACATCTTTTAAAATTTTTTCTACAAGTCCTTTTGAAAACATGGCTAATGATTGTTCTGAAAACACTACCTAAGATATAACTTCAGTATTTTGCTTCAGACACATGGAAATCTATTAAAAAACCCCAAAACCCACCCAAAGAAAACATGGATGCTTGGAACGACACATAACAAAACACAATCTCTTTACATGTATTAATAATAGTGCTGTTGGCAGATCAAGCCTATGAGGATCTTCATGCTTTGTTAGCCTAAACAGTACCAGTCTTCAGCCAAAATCAGCTATTTTAACAGGTATTATTGTATCTTTTGAACACATACTAAACTGATTTATGTACAGTGACTTCTTCATTAGAAATAAAATATCAGCACCCAGGACACAAAGCCATTGAAAGAAATTTTAAATCATAGTAAATAATCAGGTCACTGATAAAAGAGTAGGGGGAAAAAGGTATTTAAATGCAGACAGAAATTGAAGTTACACTGTTGCTATACGAGGTCTAGGTCTTGTCCAGTTTTATTCCTTACCTACGTGTTTGTCTAGGCTCTTCCTCTTGGCTTTCTTATACAAAGTGCTAGCAGTAGTAAGTTTAGATTCTTTTCTTTCTCGTGTGAAAGTATTAAGTACTTGGGATACTCTGAAGAGAATCTAGTTTCCAGTTAGCATGCAAATACAATATTCAACACACTTACACACAAAAGCTGGTAACATAATCAATTGCAATGAAGAACCTTAACAGATATAATAAAATTTACTTATTTGCAAGCCTGGTGCTTAGTTAAAACCATCTCAAGACCAGAATCTTCCCTTTAATTTTGTCTAAAGAGACATGACTAATGCAGACATGGGGCAGATGAGATGTTTATTGATGGGTTTTACCATTTGTTAAACAGCTCCAGTCAAGAAAGACACAGAAAAGATTACCATCCAAAGGCTGGTAAGGCAGCCTGTAATCAATACAACCACAATTTTTATCAATCCACTTCCTAACGGGCAAACACAGATATCACAGACCCACTATCACAAGTGACAGTCTTGACAGACTTGGCACTGAAGCAAGGATGAAATAAATCCAGAGCTACCTCTTGTCTGCTGCCAAGACTCAAGGTAGTGGCCACACCGCTACCACGAGTGACTCCAGCTGGCCCAAAGAGATGGGCCTTTTACAGATTCTCATTTAAAAATTCCTCTGTGACAAACAAATCTCCGTCCTCCTTTCCCCAGCACTCTCAGCAGAATTGCAGAAGGGCTTGGTTCCTTACACCTGGTTGAGCTACTGTGGACGATGTCATGGGACAGAATTCAGTACTGATGATACCAAGATCACCTTCCCTGTTCCAACTCGAATCACAAGGTGCAAGCCTGACACCAGCCCAGACAAATACAGTCTTTTAATTTATAAACCCAAAATTTCTAAAGACCAAACGCTAAGACTTCAGATCCTTGAAAAACAATTGAAAAAAATTCAGAAAACAAGTGAAGTTTGGATTCCCAAATTTATGAAGAGCACTCTTCCCAAATATTAGTAAGGAATAAAGGTAAAAATTCAGGGTTCATGGCTGTATGAACTACCCCTACAGGAAAGAAAATATGCCTCACAAATGTCTTTCATCTTACTAAAACAACCTTTAACAACGCATCATAAATCTTACTAAAACAAAAACATGGCCCTGAATATTGCTGTGCTGTAAACATTTAACAAACCTTTACCTGTGACTTTATGTAAAGGTAACATGCAATAATTTTACCAACTCAGACATAATGTTCACTAATCCTCACTGACAGAAAAAAAACAAACAACAAAGTTTTGCAAGGCGTATTTGTCTAAACTTGCTAGATTAAGCAAAGAAACAGTTCTTATGAAACGAATAGAAAAATAAATAGTTGTAGACCAACTAAAAAATCCATTCAGAGAGAACACAATAAATATCAATAGGAGGGTGAATTTGTATCTGCAATTCTACATGAGGAATGTGAGCAAAGTGAACTCAGTACCACACTCTATGTATCAAATTCATGCAGAATTGCCTGTTGGATTCATTTATGCAGACTGGGAGTATAAAACAAGCACTAAAAATAATAAACACGGATATTTTAAGTATTTATGCTATTCCTATTCAATAACCCTCCAGCATATTTAACAGAAATAATATCCTCCCTCTAGTTACCTTCTCCTCCGGGTCTGGCACATTGCCTTGATTCTTTTGTTGAGGGCTGTCTTGATATTCCTGCAGCACTTTCACCCTTTAAAAAAAAAAAGCTCACAAAGATATATAATTGTATTTTAAGTAATCATATATTTACATATAAAATTTACTTAGATACGTTGCTTCTAATTTATATGTATTATACATAAAAAACACTCACTTACAAAACTGACCTACACATATAAGATTATGTCAAGCCTATTTTCCTCAAGTCTGCAGCTATTTTTCCTGGATACATGATAGCTACTTTCTTTTAAATAAAAGATTTTACTATTGTAAAGACAACTTCCAGATGTAAGTATCCAAAGCAAAGCAATCGTATGAAACTTGTAGATTATCTGTGATGCCACTTGCTGGTCTTGTTTAGCTAACAGTGAGCTACTGAAAGAATTAAGATACTTAAAATCACCTACATATTTCAGATGGATCATATACACAGTTCCTCTTTAACCTTCCGGGAAGTCTTTTAATTTTCATGCCAAAATAGAAGCAAAGACTAAAAAATAAACATGCCACTATATTGGCATAGTCCTTTACTCAAATGGGAACTGTCCTGGACAAGCTAAGAAATGGGTGCAGCCAGAAAGTCCATCAGACAAGCAATGATTTGAAGTGCAACTGTTAGAGGACAGAGGGTAAGAGTTCAAAAATTGAAAAGATTAAACGGGGAAAATTCAGGACAGTTCTGAGGACTCTGATCTTAGCCTGAAAGTGATTCATAGAGGGCAGGAAATGAAAGCAGACAAGCACACACAAGAATTATTTTTGTTTTCTCTGGATATAGCTTGTACTGCCTGAAGCCGAGCACACCTGAGCAGCAATACTTTCTGCAAAGGTGCTACGTTACACATTTCAATGGTCACGCGTCCTCAAAAAGGAGCAAGTTACACCACCAAGTTCACTTAGCTGGCGGTTGGATAAAGATGTGCAAGCAGCACTCTCTCGTGAGATGAGATCAACGCCAGTGCCAGGAGACAAGGCCACCTGCACCGCGAGGTGCCCTGTGCGTAAAGGAGTAACACACAGGCAGCAGGAGAGGCTGAAGGCAGCTACAGCACCCGCCCTACAGAAAAAGTTCAGAACAACATCCCGGCGAGAGCAGGCAGAGGGGCAGGTCTGAGAGGTGCCACTACTACAGGTAGGGGACACTACCAATCGACGCATCACTCTACCTGAAGCACAGCTGGGGCACAAATGCCTCCAAGGTGTAAAGGAGGACCCCTGGCAGCCCAGCAAAACTCCTGGGTGCAGGACCAGGGTGGGAAGGAGGCAGCCCAGCACCTTACACCGATCTGTGGCTAGCAGAAGGGGCAGACTTAGTAAAGGTGATCTTGGTAGTGTTACGTTAACAGTTGGACTCGATCTTAAGGGTTTTTTTCAACCTAAATAATTCTACGTCTTTTGCTTGAGTGTAGACCAGAGGATGGAGCCAGCGATGGGTTCTGTGCACACACACAGGGCTTCCCACTCGTACAGTTCTGGAGATGCTAATAAATCAGTAGCTCCCAATAAATCTTACCTAACAACCTGATTTCATTAGTGACAGCTGTTACTAAAGATGAAGCAACCACCCCTGAACACAACAGATGTGTTCCACTTTATGTTTCTATGCTCTCTCTCCCTATAACACATCTCTGCATATCATTCAATATCCTGAAATATGTTTAGCACCTCATAGGATTTCCTCCTTATCTGCTTTTTTGAAGTTTGTGTGAATTAACCATCCATGCAGTTTGAATTCAAGATTACTGTCCACTCTGCTGCCAATGACCATATTGATAACATAATTAAGAACTACATATTCTTTCATTTCTATGCAAATATTAACATCACATCTTCTAATAACCCACAAGAGAAAACTGTCAAATTACACAAAGTAAAACATTCAATCAGCCAGAAGAAAGCCCGACATCCTACGCTTCACAAAAATCTAGTACATGGCCCTTCTCCGATGTAAACTAGATTTGATTTATACTATCTTCACTGGATTATTACAGTTATTGGACCCACAAGCAGAGCTACCAGTATTTTTGTTTCACTCTTTAGGAAATACTGACAGGTTACAAAGAGAAACAGAGAGAAGTCCAAAACCATCTAAGTCCAAAACCAGCTAAGACTGCAGTGGTTAATCTTAATCTTAGCTCACCTCAATTAATACCATCTTTCACAATCACAACACTATGCAAGCAACAAAAACAAAGCTCACATACCGTCAAAGTCTGGCTCTGCGGGCCCGCAGGCCACATCTGGTACACTCGCACCGCAGCAGCTCTTTGGGTGATGTAATTATTAGCACAGGTGGGGAAGGAGTTAAGAATAGGTGCTGAGGCTTCTGGAGGAGTGGATTTAGTAATTTATTTATGTCAGGCACTGCTTAACATTTTTGAAGAGCCATATGTGCACACTGGCAACAGGTGCAAAGTAAAAGCTAAAATCTAATCACTATGGTAGCGCACAAAAACACAAATCCCACAATATTTATCATTTGAGTCTTTCCAAAATGGAGATAATACAGTCATTCCTCTTCATGCAAATTCTGAGGCTCCAAGACTTTTAAATGCAGTCACTGGAGCCATTACAAAAAAACACCTAAAAAACCCCTTACACTTCATCTCACACTAACCTGGAAAGACCATATTAAAGCGGAATCCTAGATGGATGTATACAGACTTCCCAGTTTTGAGTAATTATATTTCTTTTTGGAGAGGATACAGCAGCTTGCTGTAAACCATCCACTCTGCTGCTTTGTCCTCATTATTAAACTTTTGTGGGCTTTTTCTGCAACAGACTATTTCTAAAGAAATAAACACAGTTTATTTCTAATGCTTTTACTGAAAGCTACCTATCCCTTAAAGACTTTCTTTGCTCTTTCACTCACACTGTCTCCTGTTTCCAGTATTTATTCCTAAACCAGCTATCATTATTAACAGGCAGAACTTATTAGTGTGCAACAGCAACAAAGAGAAATCTCTACTTGCTGAGGTAAATTTGACTGCAGTGGTGATAAAACTTATTAGGAAAGTATAACCTCAAATGAAGTCTTGCAGGATGGTGTTCTATTGGTGTTACCTTCTGCTAATTAAACCCAATTGGGTTCAAAACCCAAAAGAACTATCAGAAAAATCCCATTTTTTAAAAAATACGTTTTAATGATATATTTCTAGTATATAAGCCAGTTATGAATAATCAACACCAAAAAAGAGGGTCATTCATAGCACCAGAACAAAAATTTGAGCCATGTCCAACAAATTTCCATGAAATGATTCTCTCTACTGGTTCTAAGGCACTTACTTTTTTTTTTAATTCAGTAGTTGTTTCATATCTATTCAAGATGAGATCCAGCAGAAATAGAAATTCATTAGATATGAATTAGAAGCTGATTCAAGTGACCAGTTCCAGAGCAATATGGTTTGTAGGGCAAAAATAAAAGTCATTATAGAAGTGGCCAAAAGTGACAGGATATTACAAAAAGCTTTAGCCAAGAGTTTCAGCAGCCATCTGTAAAATGGAAGAGACTTTTCCAATGTGTTTGGCCTTAGGGGTAAATGACATACCTGTTCTGCAGCCACTTGCATATAAGCAGCACCATACGCTCGGAAGCTCGATGACCCGGGTCACCTTTTGCCAAAAGACAAAGTTCTCCAAGCCATGCTGTGAAGTGACCCTTTTAAAGACGACTTTTACCCGAGATGGACTGAGAGTTAACAGAATACAACTCAGCTTGCTCTGATCACAAACACTACGGTCCGCAACAGCCTCGAATCAGAAAGTAGTCTTCTTTTGATTGCCATGTGTTAGCCAAATGTCTCTTCTTAACTCATACTTACACTTTGCTTTCTTTTAGTTCCAGAAAATTGGAGATACCCATTACATGCTGGGTAATACAGACTTTCTTTAGTACCAGAAAAATAAATTTTTTTTAAAAAAAGTAGACCTCTCAAAATTAAAGTAGCCTTTTAAAGCTGGCCTCTGATAACCAGCAGCAAGAAAAATTAGGACATGGATGAATACAGATAAAAATCTTCTTAACTCTCCAAATCTCACAGGAGTAAACTTCAGGTGATAGCTTCGCTTTACATGTAGAATACAAAAAAAGAACAAATGTCAATTATTTTGTTCTCTAAATGCAGCATAAAAGCCATGCAGACTGAAATTCTGTGGACATCTCAAATGAAACACAAGTTCCCATTTCCCCACTGCTTCTTCCCCGCACTGTTTGCATGCTCTTATGTTGCCAAGCAGCGTGTTTGAAGAAAGGATCTAATTCAAACATGGAGGAAGCAAGACAAAAGTCAAGTGGAAGTCAAAATAGCTCACTACGACATGAAGCCATGTCAGACCAGGCTTGGAAAGAAAGAGAAGCTGTGGGTAGGAGCGTGAGGATAAAGAGAGCAACACTAGGAGCCAGGATAAGTGGCTAAATGAGCATGACAGGAACAAATGAGGAAAGGTTAATCCTTAGGGCAGGAAAGA